GTTTCTGCTGTGTTATTGTAGAAAGAATGTTAGTGGGCACGCTGCTGTGTTCTATTCCTTTCTCTTTTGTATTTCATTGTTTTTTCCCTATCTATTCTGTACGAATTAAAGTTGTCCGTGGGACACCCATCAGTGACAGTTTATCATAGCAGCAAAAATAAAATTGTGGAGTGATCTTTCTTTAGATATGTGCACTTGTTACGACTTTGTCTTATTGATTTGTGTGGCTTTTGAATGAGGAAATAAGTTTGTTTGCAATGACTGGAGTGACAATTCTAGAAAAATGTGAATAGAACCAGCTTGAGTGCTGCTTTATAGTGTCACCATGATGAGGATTTGAGCGATGAATGTACTAATGGTTCTCACATACATTTTTGTACAGTGCATTATGGTCCAGAATATTTTGTGAGTACCAAAAGACAAACTTCAAAACTATTTTGCAACTTCTGTAAATAATTTTATGCTGCCATCTTTGGGATTCTATAGATGCAGCTTGAAGTTTTAATGATGAATCGCAAAACGAAAATTTCCTTGGATTTTTATTTTCATTCTACCTTTGATGCAGGTTCCACGACGGAAGAAATTGACATCATGTCTCTGACTCCTCCAAAAGAGGACGACGTTCCAGAGAACCTGGAGGGTGAGTTGTTTGTCGGTATTTTATCCCACAGACATGGTATCAGGTAGAAACTGGCACCACAGTTTGCTGGTACACATCAGTACTGAGAACACTAATTAACTAAGTCCATCATGACGCCAAGGCTATCCTAAAAGTAGAATGGGAATGGTAATAACTTACCTTTTCTAAAATTGCCAGAATTTTGTCTTCTTTGACTGGTGGATATTGTTGACATTATTGATTACCACATCCTCCTATTTACATTTCGTCGCCTCGAACTATTTAAAAGTGTACAAAGTGAAGAGGCACTTTGGACAAAGTAATTTTAGGGCGACAATTTGTAGGAGAGTTAGTTAGTGGTGAGACTTTCACCAAGGTACAGCAAAATCTATCATGTGGTGTCAACCATAAACATAATGTAATTTGTCAATCGCTGTGATTGAATGTTCATTCCATTTTCTTTCCTCCTATTTGTATCAGGCTGTAAGGTGTAATGTTTGTGTGACCCAGTTGCCACTTTGAGACAGCTCACATACTGATTCTTTCATGTCATTGATTGTTTCAGCCAAGCTGAAGGAGTTACAGAAATTGATAGAAGTGTACAAAGGTGAGCTATCTGCTTTCTGTTTCACCAGTTGCCTGGTTTAAATGAAAGGTTTTCTACTAGTTAGATATTCCAAATCAGACTCTTGATGATCTTTCTCGCTGCATACTGTGGATTAGAATGATTTCTACTTAAATGACCTTTTGTTTTGTACTCAGAATCACTCTTCACTGAACAATTCTCTGGTAGATTTTAATATTGACAATTGACTGTGATCATTAATAAAAGTTTGTGTGTCTTTATAACGATAACTGAGGAAGAGAAGATGTTTCGTTAATTTTAGAAATACTGGTTTGTTTCCTTTTTGTTTTTGCTGCTTGTGATATTTGTTTTTGCTACCTTTGATATTTTGTTTGGTAAAGATTTTTTTTGTTCCTGTTTGTTTCCCCCCCAGGCAAGCTGGAGTCCTCCGACACAAAGCTCAACGCAAGCAATGAGAAAGTCCAACAGCTTCAGAGTAAGTCTCATCATGTTTGTTGCCAGCTGTCACATTTTTGCAAGCTTTTTTTACCCATTTCAGTCAATCTCTCAGATGTTGTTTGTTCCCAACTTGACTTATTGTATGAAGTTGAAGACTGAAAGGGGGAAAAGACTTGTCTTTTGTAGCATGTCTCAGTGTGGGACCATGTGCAGTGCATTCTGCTGTGACAGTGTTACCTGTCGTGTAATGGTAAAACATAGGGAAGTTATGGATCAACGCTATTACTAGTGAAACTTTTAGCAAATAAAGACTTGGGGGAGGGGAAAGGTTTGCGTGAAACTGATGTCCAAACCATAGTACTTTACTTCAACTATGGACCGTGCAACACAGATTGACATAAAATCATGAAACTTGAGTACAATAACCACTAATTAAATTTTCAACAGTAGAACACAAAAACTTCTGAGAATTCTTCACACACAAAAGAAGCAGAAAGCCTCTGGATCTACGTTTTCAGTTTGTAAGAAAGTGTGTCATCACCAGTTTCAAAAATTCACTGCTTGTTCTCAGTGGATATTTCCGTGCTGGCATGCAATACTTGCACACTTTTCCATACAAATACCCGTAAAAACTTTGGAGCTTTGGACAGTTTTCTGAATAATTTTTTTACTTTACCATGATGTTCTTGTTAAGGGCCAGAAAATGGCAGCTTGCATTGTGCGCTTCCGTGGAAGTTGAGATTGCATCAGAATGCTATCAGGTCTGCTGGATGAATAATATAGATTGTCAAGTGCGTGGAGATTGCTTTTGACTGGAAATTTATACTTAACAAATGGTGTATATATATTATTATTTTATTTATTTTTTAAGCTCATTTTTCATTTTTTGGTTAGAATGTTAACTTCTTTTGGCTTGTTAGTGATCAGTGATGAGTGATATTTTTATGTTTTTTCTACTTTGCAGAAGAGCTGGATGTGGCCATGTCAAACTCAAAGGAGTATCTGATCAAAATTACCAGCCTTGAAGGTATCCTCTCTTTTCTTTTCTCTTTTGATGATTTTTTTTCTTTTTTGCGTGTTTTCTTTTTTTCATTTGTGCACCTATGTACTGAGCGTTGAGTTAGCGTTGGTGGAATGTGTTGGTGGCCCGTGTGCCTGCCTGCGTGGTTGGCGTGGCTTGGCTGCGTCCATGCAGGTTTGCTTTGTATTCTGGGCCTCTCCGGGGGTCCGAGAATTGCACAACTTTTGGAAGAAAATCTTTGTTTTGGTTTTGCAGTGCACAGTGTTTATTTACCTGTTTCATACGCTTATGAATTTTGTAACTTGCAAGAGCTGCTTTTCGTAAAGTAATGTAAAGAATAAACCGTAATATTTAAAAACGTTCTCATATTTTTGTGAGAACTTCTGCTATTGAATAGTGTTTCTACTGTCGAAAAGACTAGAGCTGAACTCAGATGGAGGTGAAAGTTATCCACTTAATAACTTTTTAACAGTTTTTGTAGTTTTTTTAGATCCCTTTTTCTGTATTCTCTTCTTGTGACATTTTCACTGTTGTAAAATTGTAAGTGCCCAATTGTTCTTCAGTAATGTCCACTTAAATTGTCTGAGCTAATTTATGCGCAGGTTAACCTAACAACTGACAGTCACTGCTTCAGAACTTGTTTCTCCCTTTAATTTATATTGTATTGCTTCCCTTTTTTTTCTTTTTTTTTGCTGTGTCAAAAAGTTATCATAAAGATAACAGCCGATTTCGAAATATTACATCGTTGACTATATACCATTCTTTTTAACTGGCATGGCAGTTTACAATGATCTGCTTTCAATGCTGCTCAAGCGTTGGTTTTTGAAAATTATTCTTTGTTCACTTTCAAGTTGTTAAAATTGTTTTATTGACATTTGAAGTCGTTCCTTTGTTTAGTGTGATAATGTTGTAGTTAAATGAATCCAGTATTTTTCCAGGTTTGTGCGTTTTTTAGCACTTGTTAGCTACCTGTGGTTCAATTGTGTTCTCCACCATTTCATATAATAAGATATATACAGTCGAAATTGTCCAAGATAACCACATATTGTCTTGGGGGGAAAGTGGTCGTCTAATACAGGTAGACGTCTTTGACACTGTCATATTTTTTTTAATGCTAGGGGGAGGGGAGGGGAGGGTGGTGGAAAGTAGTCACTTGTACAGGCGATTGTCTGGGACAGGTGACTGGCTTGTACAGTTAATTGTCTTGAACAGGGGGTTGACTTGGAACAGGTGATTGTCTTGGACAGGTGATTGTCTTGGACAGGTGGTTGTCTTGGACATGTGGCCGTTAGAGCTGGTTCAACTGTATATAGATGTCAGCACTCTATTTTGGTGTGTTGTCTTCCCCCCCTCCCCCCTCCCCCTGTTAGTTACCCTCCCAAAATGCTCTATTATATTCCCCCACATGTATTGTTTGACCTACTTATCACTGAACTCGCCTATTGACTTGGCTGTTACGTGCAGATAAAGTAAAGCTCTCGGATTACCACATGAACGAAATGATGGAGAATGCCCTGCACAATTTGAAGTGTAAGTCGACATTTTCCTTTATTCTGATACTTTCGTGTTAAAAAAAAAAACTTCTTCAAGGTTGGAGGAACGTTGTTCTCGAAACTGTAACAAAAATTTGTGTCTTAAAATAGTTGTAGGTAGTGCATTTTGTGCCGCTTTGCTTTCCTGGGAAAAGAGCGCATGAAGAAATGGGTGGCTGCTGCTTTGCTGTGATGGTCTCGGCGATATGTGTAAGAAGCACGTGATTAATCCTAACACTATATTGATTACTAGGAATGAAAAAACACTCTGTTGTCATTTGCCCTGTCTGATTACTTAACTCTGCCTGGTACATATCATTGAAAGAATCAGAGGTGATTGCATTGGCCCTCAGGATGGAAAAAGTATGGCCCAATGTTTTCATAAGCCATACTGATTACTCGGTTTGAAAAAAAATAAGTTTCCGAAACTTGTTTAAGGGCATTTAGTCTAATTGTTCTTTACAAACAAGATGTAGTCAGTTGTTGACTGCGTCATTTAAGAATGAATCGTGAACTGAATGAAATGATAGATGGTGGTCTCGCCTTTTGTTTTGTGAGCATGAACTTCGTCATCTAGGTTTAGCTCTCTTTTGTTAACAATGGCAACGCGTGTGCGCCCCCACCCCCTCTCCTCTCCATAAAGAAAGAAAAGAGAGATTGAAAGCAAGTGGTCAAATGTTGACGTGTGAAAATATTTTGGATACTTCGGCATGTCTGTTTATGGAATTGTGAAATAGTACCTGTTTTTCTGCTTGTATGGATAAGTTAGATAATTGTGAGGTTAATTCTGTCAACTGTAGAAACTGCATGAAAAGAAAAGGTGAATGCCGTTCATCATGTGTGTAGTATGTACGAAAACACTTATTATGACCGTGGTGGTGTACTTGTGCACGGCATGTTGCCTCGCGGTGGCTCTGTGTGTGTGTGTTGCATGGTGTCTTGTCTTGTCAGTTTTGCCATTACTGAGATGGGTTCAGGTTTGAATCTTTAAGCAAGGCACCACTGTTCTTTCTTTGAGTGTGCCATGATCATCTGGGGTTTTTTCTAACCCGTTGTT